AACACAGAGAAGACAAGTAGTGACTCTACAGCATCTTACTAAGCTGCTGGACAGTGACTGTAATGGGGTTTGTTGGGGGGACTTGGTGAAGGGGGGAGCCTAATAAACATAATGTTCCTCATGTAATTGTAGATTAATGATACCAAAATTTTTAAAAAATGGTCAGAGGAGCTGAACAGACAGTTCTCCAAAGAAGAAATTCAGATGGCCAACAGACACATGAAAAGATGCTCCACATTGCTAGTCATCAGAGAAATGCAAATTAAAACCACAATGAGATATCACCTCACACCAGGAAGGATCGCCACCATTCAAAAGACAAACAACAACAAATGTTGGCAAGGTTGTGAAAAAAGGGGAACCCTCCTATACTGCTAGTGGGAATGTAAATTAGTTAAACCATTGTGGAAAGCAGTATGGAAGTTCCTCAAAAAACTCAAAATAGAAATACCATTTGGCCCAGGAATTCCACTCCTAGGAATTTACCCTAAGAATGCAGCAGTCAAGTTTGATAAAGACATACGCACCCCTATGTTTATCGCAGCACTATTCACAATAGCCAAGAAATGTAAGCAACCTAACTGTCCATCAGTAGATGAATGGACAAAGAAGATGTGATACATATACACAATGGAATATTATTCAGTCATAAGAAGTAAACAAATCCTACTGTTTGCAACAACATGGATGGAGCTAGAGGGTATTATGCTCAGTGAAATAAGCCAAGCAGAGAAAAACAAGTATTAAATGATTTCACTCATATGTGGAGTATAAGAACAAAGAAAAAACGGAAGGAGCAAAACAGCAGCAGACTCACAGAACCCAAGAATGGACTAACAGTTACCAAAGGGAAAGGGACTGGGGAGGATGGGTGTGAAGGGAGGGATAAGGGGGTGGAGTAAGATAGGCAGCATTACGATTAGCATGTATAATGTGGTGGTGCACAGGGAGGGCTGTACAACACAGAGAAGGCAAGTAGTGATTCTACAACATCTTACTACGCTGATGGACAGTGACTGCAATGGGGTATGTGGGGGGACTTGATGATGGGGGGAGTCTAGTAGACAATGTTCCTCATGTAATTGTAGATTAATGATACACAACAAAAAAACTACTTTCTTACCATAATTTTTTTAATGTTTGATTTTAATTAAAGTTCTGTAGTTGGTAGGTTGAAATAATACAGCCTTCAGTTAACTAGATGTGTGGCACCTCCTTGTATCAGTGTTGTGAACAGATGGAGCATTTCTTCGGGAGGCCACACTGAGTGAGGATGTTGTACTCCTGCACTCGGCTCAGCTAACACAGGCTCCACACAGGGCCCTGAGCAGGTGTTTTCCATGGCACTTCTCCATCTTCCCTCTCAAGTCAGACTCTTCAGACTTCCTCTATCAGCTGTTCATCTGTTGTCTCTAATCTATTTCTTAACCTCATTCCTAACTTCAGCAGGAGACCAATGAACCCTTTTATTCCCACCAGCCTCTTATGCTCACTTCTGCCTTCCTCTGGTGCTTAGGAACTTCTCTGCCTTAAATGCCACCTCATCTGATGCTTTACCACTTCCCTGACTTCATTCAACATCATTGTCATCTTCGAAAACTCTCCAAACGTCTGTAACTACCATGACTCTCTGTTCACTCTCACTTTTCTGTCCTGGCATAGGAGAGAGATGTGATCTACTACTGCTAAAGTGCCTCACAGTGCCTGGGGTGATGGAGATTATGGGAATGCAGGGGACTGGCTGGAAGTAAGGTGAAATATGTGTATAGTTAACAAAAAAACCGTAAGTCAGTTTTGGTGTACTTGTTATTACATATTTTCCATTTTAATTAAATTGTGAAAACATAGCACATACCTGCGTGTTTATCACCAGCTTTTGTTGTGTACTTTTATATGCTCTCATGTGTTACTATCTTCCAACTGAGAAGAGTCATGTCATGTTGGAACAATGTGGTCTGTTAGCTGCTCAGGATTTGAAAACACTATATGTGTATTGGTTAAGTCACAAGGCCAGCTTTCAAAAGCTTGAATTACCCAGAATGTACCAGAGGAATGTTGTTAGCATTCTGTAACTTCTGGTCATGATGCATATTGTGGGCCTCTGTGGGATTGCATTCGTAATCCATAGGGTGGCAGGGAGTTGAGGTGCCAGAAGTACCACTCCCTTGCTACAGTGGTAAGGTTCTCCCTTTCATCATACCTATGGGCAAAGCTGTTTGTGGCAGTATATTCTTTGTAATTAAAGATAAAAGGACTGCTGAAATAAAGGTAGAACATCCATCTCTATATGTGCCATAGTACAGCAGCACTATGAGGTAGCGCCATGGACTAGTGGAACACTGTCCAGGATGCAGAGACCTGGTGGCCTCTGGGAAAGCAGAACACTGTCCAGGATGCAGAGTCAGGTGGCCTCTGAGAAAGGGAACTACTGTGGTACTAACTAGGGGGTCAGAGGCAGGAAGGGAACCTAACTTGCACTGTTCTCTCATTGGCATTGTTAGCATTGTTTTCTTTGCCACATGCATGTTAATATTGCTTTTGTAAAATGCCACATTTTCTCGGTCTCTTGTGCTGCCCTCAGAGGTGGAGAGCAGTGCCTGGAGAGGTGCCATGGCTGCACATAGCTCCTCCTGTACTCTTTTCTCCCATCCCTTAATGCTGCACACAGTGACTGTGTATTTGGTTTACAGTTGAGACAGTGGTAAAAGGAACACCAGCTTTGCAGTCTGATCAGACCTATGTCTACAGCTTATTGGCTTGTATGATGTGGAAAAGTTATTTAACTTTCCAGAATACTAATTTTCTCATTTAGACTGTGGGAATAATAATATAATATGTATAGCTCAAATCTGTTGTAAAGCTTAAGAAAATATACTTCATAAGCTAGCGTAGTGACCCCAAATAGCGAAAGCAATCCTGAGAAGAAAGAATAAAGCGGGGGGGGAGGATTATGCTCCCCGACTTCAAGCTCTACTACAAAGCCACAGTAATCAACGCAATTTGGAATTGGCACAAGAACAGAGCTATAGACCAGTGGAACAGACTAGAGAGCCCAGATATAAATCCAAGCATATATGGTCAATTTTAATATATGATAAAGGAGCCATGGATGTACAATGGGGAAATGACAGTCTCTTCAACAACTGGTGTTGGCAAAACTGGACAGCTACATGCAAGAGAATGAAACTGAATTATTGTCTAACCCCATACACAAAAGTAAACTCAAAGTGGATCAAAGACCTGAATGTAAGTCATGAAACCATAAAACTCTTAGAAGACAACATAAGCAAAAATCTTCTGAATATAAACATGAGCAACCTTTTCCTAAACACATCTACTTGGACAGGGAAAACAAAAGAAAAATGAACAAATGGGACTACATCATGCTGAAAAGCTTCTGTACAGCAAAGGACACCATCAGCAGAACAAAAAGGCATCCTACAGTAGGGGAGAATATATTTGTAAATGACATGTGTGATAAGGGGTTAACATCCAAAATGTATAAAGAACTCACATGCCTCAACACCCAAAAAGCAAATAACCCTATTAAAAAATGAGCACAGGATATGAACAGACACTTCTCCAAAGAAATTCAGATGGCCAACAGGCACATGAAAAGATGCTCCACATCGCTATTCATCAAGGAAATGCAAATAAAAATCACAATGAGGTATCACCTCACACCAGTTTGCATGGCCAACATTAGAAGAGACTAGGAACAACAAATGCTGGCGAGGTTGTGGAGAAAGGGGAAGCCTCCTACACTGCTGGTGGGAATGTAAACTAGTTCAACCATTGTGGAAAGAGGTATGGAGGTTCCTCAAAAAACTCAAAATAGAAATACCGTTTGACCCAGGAATTCAACTTCTAGGAATTTACCCTAAGAGTACAGGATCCCAGTTTCAAAAAGACATATGCACCCCTATGTTTATCACAGCAGTATTTACAATAGCCAAGAAATGGAAGCAACCTAAGTGTCCATCAGTAGATGAATGGATAAAGAAGATATGGTACATATATGCAATGGAATATTATTCAGCCATAAGAAAACAAATCCTACCATTTGCAGCAACATGGATGAAGCTAGAGGGTATTATGCTCAGTGAAATAAGCCAGGTTGAGAAGGACAAGTACCAAATGATTTCACTCATTTGTGGAGCATAAGAAGAAAAAAGCAAAAACTGAAGGAACAAAACAGCAGCAGACTCAAATGAACCCAAGAATGGACTAACAGTTGCCAAAGGAAAAGGGACTGGGGAGAGTGGGTGGGAAGGGAAAGAGAAGGGGAATAAGGGGCATTATGATTAGCACACAATGTGGTGGGGGGTGCACAGGGAAGGCAGTATAGCACAGAGAAGGCAAGTAGTGACTCTATAGCATCTTACTGTGCTGATGGACAGTGACTGTAATGTGGTATGTGGTGGGACTTGATAATGGGGAAAATCTAGTAACCACAATGTTGCTCTTGTGATTGTATATTAATGATACCAAAAAAAAAACAAGCTAGCATATTGATAGTATATAAATTACATTTATTTCTTTTTCAGTTGGAAGGAACTTGTTCAGATTTTAAACTCCGTGCTTTCCAACAATACTGAAATTAGAGCATTAACATTTCTCCTTCAAGGCATGCGACAGGAATATGTTTGAGTGCCTTCCTGATTCCTAGACTATTGAGTAGAATAGCATATTCCCTCTTTTAATCCTGTAGTATCTTCTAAATAAAAATAATGTTCTTTTGTTTTTCTGGATGCAAATGGAAGTTTATTATGTTTTAAAATATTTTTGTGTCTACGTGCATTGCTGTATATTATGTGTTGAATATATTATTTACTTCTGCAAATACCTATCCAGCAAGAACACCAGTTTTAAGTGTGAGTCACTTGTATAGATTATGAGTTGAACTTGGTGATAGTGACAATATTATTATTCATTTTGGATATAAATATATTATTTAGATACAAAGTTATTTTGAATAATTTTTTTTCCTGCTCTTTCAGCCTCATGTGCCAACAAAAACAACTTGTATGTCCTCACCAGTGTCTGATGATGAACAGAGAGTGAGTATAACTTTTAAATAGACCCATATCATGCTCCAGATGACCCTATGATTTCAGAGATGCTCAGAGAGCATCTTCTTTAATTTCCTTGACATTAAAATCATAGATAAAGAACCAGATGGGAGTATCTAGGACATTTAGTTCAACTTTTATCAAATAGAACTGAACTCTAACAAGTATTATTCTAATTTTGAATACTTTCATCTGGGAAGCCCAGTGTTTCCTCACTTTTTTTTTTGTATCATTAATCTACAATTACATGAGGAACATTATGTTTACTACACTCCCCCCATCATCAAGCACCCCCACCAACAAACCCCATTACAGTCACTGTCCATAAGCATAGTAAGATGCTGTAGAATCACTACTTGTCTTCTCTGTGTTGCATAGCCCTCCCCATGTCCCACCCCCAAATTATACATGCTAATCATAATGCCCCCCTTTTTTCCCCCCCTTATCCCTCCCTTCCCACCCATCCTCCCCAGGCCCTTTCCCTTTGGTAACTGTTAGTCCATTCTTGGGTTCTGTGAGTCTGCTGCTGTTTTTTTCCTTCATTTTTTTCTTTGTTCTTATACTCCACATATGAGTGAAATCATTTGGTACTTGTCTTTTTCCTCCTGGCTTATTTCACTGAGCATAATACCCTCTAGCTCCATCCATGCTGTTGCAAATGCTAGGATTTGTTTTCTTCTTATGGCTGAATAATATTCTATTGTGTATATGTTCCACATCTTCTTTATCCATTCATTGACTGATGGACACTTAGGTTGATTCCATTTATTGGCTTTTGTAAATAGTGCTGCGATAAACATAGGGGTGCATCTGTCTTTTTCAAACTGGGCTGCTACATTCTTAGGGTAAAATCCTAGAAGTGGTATTCCTGGGTCAAATGCTATTTCTGTTTTGAGCTTTTTGAGGAACCTCCATACTGCTTTCCACAATGGTTGAGCTAGTTTACATTCCCACCAGCAGTGTAGGAGGGTTCCCCTTTCTCCACAACCTCGCCAACATTTGTTGTTGTTTGTCTTTTGGATGGTGGCGATCCTTCCTGGTGTGAGGTGATATCTCACTGGTTTTAATTTGCATTTCTCTGATGACTATCAATATGGAGCATCTTTTCATGTGTCTGTTGGCCATCTGAATTTCTTCTTTGGAGAACTGTTTATTCAGCTCCTCTACCCATTTTTTAATTGGATTATTTGCTTTTTGTTTGTTGAGGTGCATGAGCTCTTTATATATTTTGGATGTCAACCCTTTATCGGATCTGTCATTTATGAATATATTCTCCCATACTGTAGGATGCCTTTTTGTTCTATTGGTGGTGTCCTTTGCTGTAAAGAAGCTTTTCAGCTTGATATAGTCCCACTTATTCATTTTTGCTTTGGTTTCCCTTGCCCAGGGAGATATGTTCATGAATAGGTCGCTCATGTTTATGTCCAAGAGATTTTTGCCTGTTTTTTTCTAAGAGTTTTATGGTTTCATGACTTACATTCAGGTCTTTGATCCATTTCAAATTTACTTTTGTGTATGGGGTTAGGCAATGATCCAGTTTCATTCTCTTACATGTAGCTATCCAGTTTTGCCAACACCAGCTGTTGAAGAGGCTGTCGTTTCCCCATTGTATGTCCATGGCTGCTTTATCATATATCAATTGACCGTATGTGCTTGGGTTAGTATCTGGACTCTCTGTTCTGTTCCACTGGTCTGTGGGTCTGTTCTTTTGCCAGTACCAAATTGTCTTGATTACTGTGGCTTTGTAGTAGAGCTTGGAGTTGGGAAGCAAGATCCGCACCCCCACACACACTTTATTCTTCCTTCTCAGGATTGCTTTGGTGGTTTCTCAGGGTCTTTGGTGGTTCCATATGAATTTTAGAAATATTTGTTCCAGTTCGTTGAAGAATGCTGTTGGTAATTTGATAGGGATTGCAATGAATTTGTAGATTGCTTTGGGCAGATGGCCATTTTGACAATATTAATTCTTCCTAGCCAAGGGCATGGGATGAGTTTCCATTTGTTAGTGTCCTCTTAATTTCTCTTAAGAGTGTCTTGTAGTTTTCAGAGTATAGGTCTTTCACGTGCTTGGTTAGGTTTATTCCTAGGTATTTTATTGTTTTTGATGCAATTGTGAATGGAATTGTTTTCCTGATTTCTCTTTCTGTAGTTCATCGTTAGTGTATAGGATAGCAACATATTTCTGTGTATTAATTTTGTATCCTGCAACTTTGCTGCATTCAGGTATTAGTTCTAGTAGTTTTGGAGTGGAGTCTTTAGGGTTTTATATGTACAATATCATGTCATCTGCAGATAGTGACAGTTTGACTTCTTCTTTTCTTGTTTCCTTTTTAAAAATATTTTATCAAATGTACATCACAGTGGTTCAACAGTTCCCATCCCCTTACCCCGCCCCTGCCCACTCCCGTCCCCCTTAGTATGCACTAGTCAGGTCTCAGTGTCTGAGTCTAATGCTGGTATGCTGTTTTGTTCCTTCTGTTTTGCTTTGTTTTACATTCCACAAATACAAAACAGATTTATATTTGAATATAAATATAAATCTGTGAAATCTTGTAGTACTTGTCTTTCTCCACCTGGCTTATTTCCCTGAGCATATTACCCTCTAGATCCATCCATGTTGTTGCAAATGGCAAAATTTCTTTGCTTTTTATCCCTGACCAATATTCCATTGTGTATATGTAGCACACTTTTTTTTTATTATTAAGGTATCATTGATATACAATCTTATGAACATTTCACATGGGTAACATTGTGGTTACTACATTCACCCTTATTATCAAGTCCCACTCCCATGCCCCATTGCAGTCAGTGTCTGTCAGCATAGTAAGATGGTGTAGAGTCACTGCTTGTCTTCTCTTGTGCTATACTGCCTCTCCCACAACCCCTCTACATTATGTGTGTTAATCATAATGCCCCTTAATCCCCTTATCACTCCCTCTGCACCCACACTCCCCACCCCCTTCCGTTTGGTGACTCCTAGTCTCTTCTTGGAGTCTGTGAGTCTGCTGCTGTTTTGTTCCTTCAGTTTGGCTTTGTTTTTATACTCCACAGATGAGTGAAATCATTTGGTACTTGTCTTTCTCTGCCTGGCTCATTTCACTGAGGGTAATACTCTTTAGCTCCATCCATGTTGCAAATGGTTGGATTTGTTTTCTTCTTATGGCTGAATAATATTCCATTGTGTATATGTACCACATCTTCTTTATCCATTCATCTACTGATGGACACTTAGGTTGCTTCCGTATCTTGGCTGTTGTAAATAGTGGTGCAGTAAACAGGGGTACGTATGTCTTTTGAATCCAGGATCTTGTTTTCCTCACTTTTTTTGTAATCATAAAGAGAACATACTTAACACAACTAAAAGGGATTCAAAAGGCACAAAAGAGAATACAGTGTGTTTTCTGTCGCTCCATAACAAATTGCCATAAATATAACTGCTTAAAACAATACTTGTGTATTAGTCCTCGGCTCTGTTGGTTGGAAGCCAGGCCTGTCACAGCTGGGTCTTCTCTTCATGGTTTCACCCTCAGGGTGATGCTCACATTGGTTTATCTGAAGCTGCCCTTCCAAATTCTTCCAGATTGTTCCAGAAATCTCTTTCTTGCCAGCTGGTTGCTGTTACCTCTTAGAGATCATTCTCAGGTTGTTGCTGTATGGCGCCTTCTATTCCATACAACAAGGGAGAACTTGAATATTTAATCCCCTTCAAGTTTCAAATCCCTTTCATCTAGAAGTTTTCAGTCTCTTTTAAGGGCTTACCTTATTAAATCAGGTCCACCCAGGATAATATCCGCTTCTAAAGTTAACTAATTTGGGACCTTAATTTCATCTACAAAATCCCTTCACAGCAGCACCTAGATTAGTGTTTGGATAACTAGGAGCTTGTAGGTATATCTGGAACCTCTAATCTTGGGGTTCATCTTAGAATTATGCCCACTATATATAGTAAAAGTGACTTTCTCACCTCCACCTCAAAGAACACTCCCTCAACCTTCAAGCCCACACCCCCAATGGGGACTACCTCCAGTAGGCTGTTACTACACTTTGAGACATTTTTACCTATATTTACTATATTTGAGAAAATATGGAAAAAATGTATCTTTTTCAAATTTTTAACCTCAAAAAAAAAGTAGTACATAAATCCCTGTTTGGATACTTAGTTTTGAGATTTATCATGTTGTGGTATGTCTCAGTAGTTACATATTCCATTGTATAGATTACTGCAGTTTATTTATGCATTCGCCAGTTGTTGGACATCTGGTTGTTACCAGTTTTTGATGATTTTTGTAGTAAAGCTGCTATGAACATGCATTCATAAGTTGTTGTGTGTATGCATGTTTTTATTTTTCTTTTGTGCCTACAAATGGGGTTTCGGTTGTATAGTAAATGTGTATTTAACTTGATAAGAAACTACCCATCTGTTTCCCAAAGTGAGGGAGTACAATAATCATAAAATCTTTCTTAGTTTCTTTGGTAATTATATTTATCCTTTTAAATGTGCCCATATTCTAATCTAGTAGAGATTTTTTTAATTGTTGCTGTGTTTTTGTTTCCTTTCAGCAGAAAGAAAATGTTCGTTCTTTAATTATGTCTGGCCATGTTGGTTTTGAGAGTTTGCCTGATCAGCTGGTGAACAGATCCATTCAACAAGGCTTCTGTTTTAATATTCTCTGTGTGGGTAAGGGCCACTCTCCCTTGTAGTACCCCTGCTCACCTCATCTCATAAGCAGTGTGATACCCACATCATCAATTTTGAGATCATGATCACAGATTTTTTTTTCTGTTATTTAAATTTTATCAATTATTTTTTCTTAGCTGTACTATTTTAATTTTGTTTCTTCTTTAAATATTTCAATACTTTCTTCAGTGTATTGAGTAACTTAGCAAACATTTTTCTTTTTGAGTTAGAATAAGGAAGTTCCTTTATTACTAGGATGAGGTTTTTTTAATGCTCTGCTAATTACTCAGTGGACCAGTCTTAGCATGTATGTCTTTCATGGACAACACAGACTTTGACATACTTGAAATATTTGGATTCCTTAAAACCACTGTAAGTTTTTTTCCTCATCCATCTCGTGTGCCTGTGAAGATGTACCTTTGTTTCCTTCAGGAGAGACTGGAATTGGAAAATCAACACTGATGGACACAATGTTTAATACTAATTTTGAAGACCAGGAATCCTCACATTTTTACTCAAACGTTAGACTAGAGGCTCAGACATATGACCTCCAGGAAAGTAATGTTCAACTGACACTGACCATTGTGAATACAGTAGGATTTGGTGACCAAATAAACAAAGAAGACAGGTAAGTGTTTTCTAGTAATAAAACATGTCTTTCTTATTTTAGGACTTTCACCTTCTTTCCCTAGAGGCTGTGATTTGACTTTCTTCTGTGGAAACCATACCTTTCCTCCCAGACATTTTTAACAAATTTATGTTTTCCTATCCAGTTGTCTAATTTATTTAGAATAATTTGATATTAAAATGTGTATTTCAGCAAAATAGTTTATTTCCTCATATGTCTATTCAGTGTATATTGAGTACTTTACTAATTCAGGTAGGACTTCTCTTATTGAGGAAGAAAACCAAGACATACAATGGCGATATAATGGTTAAATCTGTGGCACATGATGTTTTTTGTGAAATTCTAACCAAATTAGACACATGCATTATTAAGCAATGCAGGAGAGATTTGATAATGAAATTTTTATTTTATGTTATATCATTATTTCTCATGATATAAAGATTGATAACAGATTCTATGTGAAACTTAAAACTATTAAAGGGGAAGTGGATTAGGGTAAAACAATAACTTTTTATTCTTTTTCCTTTTTGAAATGCTTATATTGTTTTTATTAATTTCCTAGTTTGCTGAGGTTTGCCATAGAGGGAAAATATTTTGCATGATTGATTCTTTATGATACATGTGAGCCTTTTTAGCACAGTTGTGTTCTTTAAATTTCAAGAATTATGTGAGAACTTTCTAAGAAGCTTAGTGGCAGAGGCAAAGTCCTATGACCTGTTGCTTTAAATCATTTTATTTTATTTTATTATTTTATTCTATTTTATTTTATTTTTTATTTTATTTTATATTAAGGTATTATTGATATACACTCTTATGAATATTCCACATGAAAAAACAATGTGGTTACTATACTCACCCATTATCATGTCCCCTCCATACCCTATTGCAGTCACTGCCCATCAATATAGTAAGATGCCACAGAGTTACTATTTGCCTTCTCTGTGCTACACTGTCTTCCTCCTGATCCCCGCCACACCATGTGTGCCAATCATAACATGCCTGAATCCCCTTCTCCCTCCCTCCCCATGCGCCCTCCCACACCGTCCCCTTTGGTAACCACTAGTTCCTTCTGGGAGTCTGTTGCTGTTTTGTTCCTTCAGTTTTGCTTTGTTGTTATTCTCCGTGAAAGAGAGAAATCATTTGGTACTTGTCTTTCTCTACCTGGCTTATTTCACTGAGCATAATATCCTCCTGCTCCATCCATGCTGTTTCAAATTGTTGAATCTGTTTCTTTCTTATGGCTGAGTAGTATTCCATTGTGTATATGTACCACCTCTTCTTTGTGCATTCATCTACTGATGGACACTTAGGCTGCTTCCATATCTTAGCAATTATAAATAGTGCTGCAATAAACATAGGGGCACATATGTCTTTTTGAATCTGAGAGATTATATTCTTTGGGTAAATTCCTAGGAGTGGAATTCCTGGGTCAAATGGTATTTCTATTTTTAGTCTTTTGAGGAACCTCCATATTGTTTCCACAATGGTTGAATTAGCTTACATTCCCACCAGCTGTGTATGAGGGTTTCCCTTTCTCCACATCCTCACCAGCATTTGCTGTTCTTAGTCTTTTCAATACTGGCCATCCTAATTGGTATGAGGTGATATGTCATTGTAGTTTTTATTTGCATTTCCCTGATAATTAGTAATGTGGAGCATCTTTTCATGTGCCTGTTGGCCATCTGAATTTCTTCTTCGGATAATTGTCTGTTGATATCCTCTGCCCATTTTCTAATCAGGTTGTTTTCTTTTTGGGTGTTGAGGCTTGTGAGTTCTTTAAATATTTTGAATGTTAACCCCTTGTCACATATGTCATTTACAAATATATTCTCCCATTCTGTAGGGTGCCTTACTGTTATGTTGATGGTGACCTTTGCTGTACAGAAGCTATTAAGTTTGATGTAGTCCTGTGTGTTCATTTTTGCTTTTGTTTCCCTTGCTCTAGGAGGTGCATTCAGAAAAAAGTTTCTCATGTTTATATTCAGGAGATTTTTGCCTATGTTTTTTCCTAAGAGTTTTATGGTTTCATAACTTATATTCAGGTCTTTGATCCATTTTGAGTTTACTTTTGTGTATGGGGTTAGACAGTAATCCAGTTTCATTCTCTTACATGTAGCTGTTCAGTTTTGCCACACCAGCTGTTGAAGAGGCTGTCATTTCCCCATTGTATGTCCATGGCTCCTTTATCATATATTAATTGAACATATGTACTTGGGTTTATATCTGGGCTCTCTAGTCTGTTTCATTGGTCTATGGGTCTGTTCTTGTGCCAGTACCAAACTGTCTTGATTACTGTGACTTTGTAGTAGAGCTTGAGTCGGGGAGCATAATGCCCCCAGCTTTATTCTTCCTTCTCAGGATTGCTTTAGCTGTTTGGGGTCTTTTGTGGTTCCATGTGAATTTTAGAATTATTTTCTCTTGTTTGCTGAAGAATGAATGCTATTGGTATTTTGAAAGGAATTGCATTGACTCTGTAGATTGCTCTATTCAGGATGGCCATTTTGACAATATTAATTCTTTCCATCCATGAGCACGGAATGTGTTTCATTTTATTGGTATCTTCATTAATTTCTCTTACAAGTGTCTTGTAGTTTTTAGTGTATAGGTCTTTCACTTCCTTCATTAGGCTTATTCCTAGGTATTTTATTCTTTTGGATGTAATTGTGAATGGAACTGTTTTCCTGATTTATCTTTCTGTTAGTTCATCATAAGTGTATAGGAGTGCAAGAGATTTCTGTGCATTAATTTTGTATCCTGCTATGTTGCTGAATTCAGATATTAGATATAGTAGTTTTGGAGTGGATTCTTTAGGGTTTTTTTATGTACAAAGCATGTCATTTGCAAACAGTGACAGTTTACCTTCTTCTTTACCAATCTGAATGCCTTTTATTTCTTTGTTTTGTCTTACTGCCATGGCGACTACCTCCAGAACTATGTTGAATTAAATTGGGGAGAGTGGGCATCCTTGTCTTGTCACCAATCTTAAAGGAAAGGCTCTCAGCTTCTCACTGTTAAGTATTATGTTGGCTGTAGGTTTGTCATATATGGCCTTTATTATATGGAGGTATTTGCCCTCTATACCCATTTTGTTGAGAGTTTTTATCATGAATGGATGTTGAATTTTGTCAAATGCTTTTTCAGCATCTGTGGAGATGTTGATGTGGTTTTTGTCCTTCTTTTTGTTGATGTGGTGGATGATGTTGATGGATTTTCTAATGTTGTACCATCCTTGTATTCCTGGAATAAGTCTCCCTTGATCATGATGGATGATTTTTTTATGTATTTTTTAATTTGGTTTGCTAATATTTTATTGAGTATTTTTATTCATCAGGGATACTGTTCTGTAATTTTATTTGTGGTGTCTTTGCCTGGTTTTGGTATTAGAGTGATGCTGGCCTCATAGAATGAGTTTGGAAGCATTCCTTCTTCTTCTACTTTTTGGAAAACTTTATGGGGGATGGGTATTAGCTCTTCATTAAATGTTTGATAAAATTCAGGAGTGAAGTCATCCAGTCTAGGAATTTTATTCTTAGGTAGTTTTTTAGTTACCAGTTCATTTTCATTGCTAGTAATTGGTCTGTTCAGATTTTCTATTTCTTTCTGGGTCAGCCTTGGAAGATTGTATTTTTCTAGAAAGTTGTCTATTTCTTCTAGGTTATCCAGTTTGATAACATAATTTTTCATAGTATTCTATAATAATTCTTTGTATTTCTGTGGTGTCTGTAGTGATGTTTCCTTTCTCATTTCTGATTCTGTTTATGTGTGTAGACTCCCTTTTTGTCTTGATAAGTGTGGCTAGGGGTATATTTATTTTGTTTATTTTCTCAAAGAAGCAGCTCTTCCTTTCATTGATTCTTTCTATTGTTGTATTCTTCTCAATTTTATTTATTTCTGCTCTAATCTTTATTATGACCCTCCTTCTACTGACTTTGGGCCTCATTTGTTCTTCTTTTTCTTGTTTCATTAATTATGAGTTTAGACTGTTCATATCGGATTGTTGTCCTTTCCTGAGGTAGGCCTGTATTGCAATATAATTCCCTCTTAGCACCGCCTTCACTGCATCCCACAGATTTTGTGTTGTTGAATTATTGTTGTCATTTGTCTCCATATATTGCTTGATCTCTGTTTTTATTTGGTCATTGATCCATTGGTAATTTAGGACCATGTTGTTAAGCCTCCATGTGTTTGTAGGCTTTTTTGTTTTCTTTGCGTAATTTATTTCCACTTTTACACCCTTGAGTTCTGAGAAGTTGGTTGTTACAATTTCAGTGTTTCTGAATTTACTAAGGCTGTTTTTGTGGCCTAGTATATGACCTATTCTTGAAAATGTTCTATGTGCACTTGAGAAGAATGTGTATCCTGTTGTTTTTGGGTTGAGAGTTCTGTAGATGTCTATTAGGTCCATCCGTTCTGATGTGTTGTTCAGTGCCTCTGTGTCCTTACTTATTTTCTGTCTGGTTGTTCTGTCCTTCAGAGTGAGTGGAGTGTTGAAGTCTCCTAGAATGAATGCATTGCATTCTATTTCCCCTTTTCATTCTGTTAGTATTTGTTTCACATATGTAGGTGCTCCTGTGTTGGGTTCACAGATATTTATAATAGTTATATCCTCTTGTTGGATTGACCCCTTTATTATTATGTAATGTCCTTCTTTGTCTTTTGTGATTTTCTTTCTTTTAAGATGTATTTTGTCTGATGCAAGTACTGCAACATCTGCTTTTTTCTCCCTGTTAGTTGCATGCAATATCTTTTTCTTTTCCATCCCTTCACTTTTAGTCTGTGTATTTTGGATTTGAAGTGAGTCTCTTGTAGGCAGCATATAGTTGGGTCTTGTTTTTTTATCCATTCAGTGACTCTATGTCTTTTGATTGGTGCTTTCAGTCCATTTACATTTAGGGTGATTATCGATAGGTATGTTCTTATTGCCATTGCAGGCTTTAGATTCATGGTTACCAAAGGTTCAAGGGTAAGTTCCTTCCTATCTAATATTCTAACTTAACTCA